GCCCAGCTCCTAAACTCCCCGTCACCCTGGCTGCCTGACCCCTGCACACATCTGTGTCTCCACCAGCTGGGAAGGCTGAGGGTTCCCCCCGAGGAAGGGCAGTGGCCATGTCAGCACAGGGCCAGGCACAGATGACCTGTGGAGAAGTGTTTGTTGAATGAGTGGTATTTTGTTGATTTCTCTAAAAGTTGAAACCAAAGAAAAACATTGCAACAGCTCAAAGCTGGGTGTGAGCCAGAGGTCTGAGGCTTGTTTGACCTCTCAGTTGGCACAAAATGCAAACTTCTGGGGGAGAGGGGTTCTCTGGCCGCTCTGTCAGAGCCGGGCCCTTGGAGATGACCTCACGAAGTAGAAGGGTGACAGGACAGGAGGGGCACAGGAGGTGAGAAGGCAACTTTCTAACCAAAAGGGCTTCTGGCTCAGAGGCCTCAGTGTGGAGTGAGCAGGCCCAAGGATGTCTTAGGAAGGCAAGAGCAGAGGCCAGAGTACGAGGGACAGCCAGGCCGGGTGGTCTGTGGGTGCATCTCCATAGAGTTTGCAGAAAGGAAAGGTGCAAGGGAGAGGGGGTGGGGAAGGCCAGAGGGGTGTGTTGGTGCCTACTGAGCCAGGAGTGGGGATATCAGACCTGCCAGGCCCCAAGGCCACTCCTCCAGGCAAGTCTGTGTTGCTGACGGGGCTCTCTGAGAAGATGGTTGATATATGGAGGCCCCACTTGCTGTTCTCACTCTAATTCTGGGGAAGACCTAAGACCTCACCGATGCAGGGCTGTGATTGATACCATGTGCTTGACAGCAGCTGGAGAAGTGGCCTGGCCTGGCCAAGCAGGGAATCTTGGAGATCCTTGGCCCTCAGAGCAGAAAAGAAGGGGCAAGGAGAGCAGGAGGAGGAGAAAGGGCAGCCGCCTCACACACACCCTCATTTGTCCTGTCCCTTCAGTAGACAGCCCTTGTGGGGACCTGGGAGAGGCACAAAGAGGGACAATCTGATTCCTAAGGGGCTCTGTCCAGCTAGGATGCTGGTGCTCCAGGGAGGCGAGGATGAGACAGGAGAAAATGGAGAGATGGGGAGAAGAGCAGGGAGCTGGAGGTGAGAGGGAGGAGGGGCGGGGAAAAATGAAAACCCAGCCTGTTGGTGGTTTCTTCTTTTTTTAAGAGCCACAAGCTGAGATCAAAGGTGATATTTTTACAGCATCTGAAATAGAAAACCACCGGGCACAGTGGGAGGTGATGGGCCGGAACACAGGCCCCTTTATACAGCCTGTGGGCACAGCAAGCATGCTGCCCTCTGCAGAGTGCCACAGGGTGTGGGGGACAGTCTGGCCTTGATCTTCCAAACTCAGGTTCAAGGAAGAAGTGAAGGGAATGAGCTACAGCCCTCAGTGCTAGAGGAAAGGACATCATGAAGGATGGTCGTGAGCACCCGGTGCCTGACACCTTCCACCAAGGCCCTCCTCTCATCATTTTTTAAAATATATTTTAGAGAGGAAGGGAGAGGGAGCAAGAGATAGAAACATCATTGCTGAGAGAGAATCACTGATTGGCTGCCTCCTGCACACCCCCCACTGGGGATCGAGCCCACAACCCAGGCATGTGCCCTGGAACAGAATCAAACCTGGGACTCCTTAGTCTGCAGGTCAGTGCTCTATCCACTGAGCCAAACCGGCTAGGCCCCCCTCATCATTCTTGCTGTGGGTGTCAGAGCTGTGCCACACCCTGTCTCATCTTCATAGACCCCTGTTGTGAGGAAGGGTTATCATCACCCCCATTTTACAGAGGAGAAAACCACGAATGCAAGAGAAAGATGATTTGGTCTAGTCCCACAGAGAGTTGGGAGCAAATTCAGGACTAGAGCTCCAGGGCTCCTGGTCCAACATCCTTTCCGCTCTCTGTAATCACTCGCTCAAGTCACATGCCAGATTATTTATTGAGCCTCTGCTATTACAGGTCCTCCTAGCTGGCCCTGGCCGAATGGGCCACACTCAGGGCTACTAAGCACTGGTTCCCAAAGTGCGGCCGCTGGGCCAGCAGTAGCAGCCTCACTGGAGAATATGCTAGACATGCCATTCTCAGGCCCAGCCAAGACTCATGAACCAGAAACGCTGGGAGCGGACCCAGCCCTCCATATTTTAATGAACTCTGTAGGTGATTCTTATATATATATATATATATATATATATATATATATATATATATATATATATATATATAATTGATTTTTTACAGAGAGGAAAGGAGAGGGATAGAGAGTTAGAAACATCGGTCAGCTGCCTCCTGCACACTCCCTACTGGGGATGTGCCCGCAACCAAGGTACATGCCCTTGACCGGAATCAAACCTGGGACCCTTCAGTCCGCAGGCCGAAGCTCTATCCACTGAGCCAGACCGGTTAGGGCTCTGTAGGTGATTCTGATGCGCACCAAGTCTGAGAATCACTGTACTGCATTGCCTCAGTTTCCACATCTGTACTCCTGGGAAAATTACAAGGCCCATCTCAAATAGTTGAGCCCGCCGAAACCGGTTTGGCTCAGTGGATAGAGCGTTGGCCTGCGGACTGAAGGGTCCCAGGTTCGATTCCGGTCAAGGGCATGTACCTTGGTTGCAGGCACATCCCCAGTGGGAAATGTGCAGGAGGCAGCTGATCGATGTTTCTCTCTCATCGATGTTTCTAACTCTCTATCTCTCTCCCTTCCTCTCTGTAAAAAATCAATTTAAAAAAAAAAATAGTTGAGCCCAATATCCGCTAACACAGGAGCTGCACATGAGCTGCTGGGTGTGTACCCTGTGCCAGGCATCCTTCTAAGCCCTTTACCCACATAACTGATTTAACTTCACAACTCTGTACAATCGGAACTAATAGTTCCCTCCTTTCACAGATGAGGAAATGAAGGCACAGAGAGGCAGTGTAGCTTGCCCAGGGTCACACAGCTCGCAAGTAGCAGAGCTGTAGAATCTGAGCTCTTAACAGGCTAACCCACGAAAAGCCCCCAGCAGAGGGTCTGGCTCCTAGAATGTGTCCGGACACAGATGAAGAAGTGATGATATCACAGTATTACTTCACCTGAATCTGAGATGACGATTCCCATTTTGTAAATGTGAAATCTGTTACCTTATCAAGATTGAGGAGTGAGTCAGCTGCAAAGGCAGCCTCAGTGTCTGAAACCCCAGAGCAGCCCACAGGTCCTCACCATTCATGTAACTTTGAGACCACAATAAGCCATCTGACCTTCTGGAAACACCTCAGTTTGCTGTAGGGTAGACACAGGCGCTGACAGGGGTGAGCTGGACCCCTCGTTTGGCCACTCAGGGACTGTGTGACCTTGGACAAGTCACCTCACCTCTCTGAACCTTCTTTTCCTTATCTGTAAAGTGGATGATGACAGCCTTAACCTTGCAGGGTCCTCGTGAAGGTTGGGGAAGATGACATTTGTGCCCAGCCCAGAGCAAGCACAGAGCTAGCCATCAACAAGCGGCTTCACCCCCCCTTTCCCCCCTCCCTGCTGAGACTTCTAGAAAAGACCAGCTCTGGACCCAGAAAAGTTTTGAAAGAAGAAATAAGTTCCCAAACGATCAAAATGCATTTGTCTTCTGCTTTTTTTATGCTTTGCTTTTTTTTTTTTTTTTTTTTTTTTTCAGATTTCCTTGAAGTAGCCTCCCTGACCAGCGTTTCTGGGATGAGACACTGGAACAGGCTGCATCCACGTCAGGAGTTAGCCACCTGTGAAGGGAAGAGAAAGTGTCCTCTCTGTGCCATCACCACTGGCCAGGCGTCAGCAATCGGCATGAGCATCTGAGCATCCGCCTGCCTCGAGGTAGTTCGGCCTGGACATCTGAAGCGCGTTAGCTGCCTGCTCCCCGGGGGCTGACCCTGCTTGTTGAGAATTATCCCAGGCAGAGCCACAGAGGATGGAGCAAACAAAGACCAGGTGAGGTGTGGCCACAAAAGTGGGGGAGCACAGTCTCCGGAGCAGCCTCTAGGGACCCCGGGAGAGCAGAGGAGGAGGGGGGAAAGCATGGGGCCTGGCCAGCTCCAGCCCAGCCGTGGCTCCCTGGCTGTGCAAACTGCAGCTGGAGCTGGAGGATGGGAGGGGATCTCTTTCCCTCTTTGGGCCTCAGTCTCCTGTGTGCATTTTGGAGGAAGAGCAAGCAAAGCACACCCTCAGGACCTCCTAGCCCTGACCTACAGTGGTAGGGCCCCACCTGATCTGGAATTCCCTGCCTCTGAGGTTCAGCCCATTGCTGGGCGGAGGTGAGTGATAGGTGGTGGGAGATAACTCGGGGATGGAGAGCCCTGATCCCCTTTCACGCCTGGACATCAGCGGAGAGCTGAGAGGCGGAGACAGGAAAGTGATACCAAATTTCAGAACAGTCAGCAAGGTGCCCTCCCGGTGACCATAGGCGGCAGAGACAGTGTCCCTCCCAGAGACGGGGCTCCGGCTGTGCCGATGGCTGGGATCAAGGTGCTCTTCCCTTTCTGGACCCACCACTCACCCTGCTGTCCAGATAGGCCACAGCTAACTTGCACTTAGCAATTTTTATTGACTCCTTATTCTATGGCAGGCTCTGTTCTAAACACTCTACTCGTATTTCACTGGGTGGCAGGGCCTGGGTGATTGACCAGCCTGCAGTCCGGCCCTCACCTGGCTGGCTCTGACACTGGCCTTGCTCAAGACACCCACAGGGGTCAGACAGGCTGGCCTTAATCATGTCACTCATGATCGATGCTCCTCCCAGCACTGTTGTAACCAGCACCAGACAATCTCCCTTTCCACTGACAGAAGTGCTCTTGTTCCCCCCTGCCCCCTCCCCCTTCTCTCCAGGGAGCGGGGTCTGAGAAGCTGTTGCCTGGTGGGCCTGGAATTTGAGCAAAGGGGTGAGGAGGGCTAGTGCAGAGGGTGGTTTCCGCAGACCTTTGTGAAGTCCGATAAACCATCTCCACTCTGAGCAGAGAGGCCCTCTGTGGGGACAGGGATGGGCATGTCCCTCAGGCAACAATTCTTACCTCTGGACCAGCGGTCGCCAACCTTTCAGACCTCACGGACCACCAGTGTTCTGCGGACCACCGGTTGGCCACCGCTGTTCTGGACAGTGTTGGGCATGCACACGGCCAAAGTCGGCTTCTCTGAACCTTGGCTTTTCTCTGGACGCCTCAGTCCTGGGTTGTAGCGTCTTTCTTTGGATGGTTAAAGTCTCTGACAACCAGGCTGGAGAGCTGTGCCCGAGCCAGGGAGCCTTTCGATTCATGCACTTCTCACAGGGCAACCTTATCAATGGCATTTCTAAGAAGGGCCCAGAGACGGATGAGGGTTCGACCACGTTCAAACAGCCAGTGAGGACCGAGACAACCTGGATTCCCAGACAAGTCCCAATTAAATAGTTTATCACTTTCAAATATGAAAAATGCACTACATAACTGCGGAACAACTAGAAAATAGACGCAAAAGCAAAAATAAATATACCTTGGTTTTGTTTCTCAGAGAAACTTCCACTGCCCTTCCCCACCCCATTCTTCCCCGGGGCCCCAGCCATAATCAATACCTTCCCTCCTGTTGCCAACAGCTGTTCCCTGAGGAATAAGCCTTGACAGCAGATCCTGGAAGGCAGCCTCAGACCGGATTCTGGAAAGGCCTGGCTTCTCTTGAGGAACAGGGGGGCTTCCGCTCAAAAGAAGCTGTTTAAATGCAGGATATGGTAGGAAAGTCTACTGGCCAGGAGTCTGGAGCCCACAGCCAGCCCCATCTGGCCTTGGATTGACTGTGTGACCTTAGGCCAGTCCCTCCCCTCGCAGTTTCTTCCGCTGTGAAATGAGGACTTGGACTTGACCCGGTGGTTTCCCCACAGCCTGTGTCAGTCTGGTGGCTTCTCTTGGGCAAGGACAATGCCTTCTCCCCTTCAGTGGGCCATAGAACTTAGAATCAGAGGGTAGGGTGCAAGCTCCTGCAGACCACTCCCTGCCTGGGTGACCCTGGGAAGGCGCCACACCACTCTGAACACTGTCCACCATGGGAAGACACAGGTGAAGGACCTGGCCCGTTGTGTGTCCCAGGGCTGCCGTGGGTCCCACGGGAGGTGGACCTTTAAGCCTCTGGATGACAGAGCGGGGCATTCTACAGGCTATTACCTGCGGGTGCACCCTGCCTGCCCAGTGCCTGGCGCCATCCCGACTCGGGGTCGGGCCCAGGCTTGTTGATGGAGCCACTGCCTGCCCAGGGGCTCCCCTAGCCGTGGCAAGTGTGCGGACCCTGGGCATGGAATGTGGAAACTGCTGAATTACTGCAGGAAGGAGTAGAGGCTGGGCTCACAGGCGGACTCTGCTTTCTGGGCTCCTAAAAACAATGGCAAACCCGGGGCCGCCTGGCCCCCGCTTCGTCATGCCCATCTCGATCTACTCCAGGCTCCCCTGGCAGGTCCGGGGGCGGGGGGGTTGTGAGGTGGTAAAAGTGACCTTCTTCCGGTTCCCAGATGACCTCTCTGGACCCCGCTTACCATCTGTTGTGTCCCCCCAAAATTTACATGTTGAAACCCTACTCTCCATGGTGGTGGCATTTGGGGGTATTAGGCTTAGGTGGGTCATGAGGGTGGGGCCGCCACAAAGAGATCAGTGTAGTAATCTGCCTCTCTCTGGGAGCACACAAAGAGGTCATGCGAGCACACAGTGAGGTGACAGCGTCTGCAAGCTGGGTAAAGGGCTCTCACCAAGAACTGACCTGCCAGCACCTTGATCTTGGACTTCTCAGCCTTCAGAACTGTGAGAAATAAGTGCCATCCAGTCTATGGTATTTTGTCATAGCAGCCTGAGTGGACTAAGACATGTGTATGACACAGGCATAAAAACTCCTTCCCTGACTATTGCAGATTAGAATGAAATGCAGTAATAGCTACCCATTTATTCAGTCATGCATTCACTCAACCAAAGCAGACAGAACTCCTTGCCCTTGAGGAGCTAACATTCTACTAGTCGGGGAGACAGTAACCAAAGAAGCGAAGGATACAGAATATCCCGTGGATGATGGTAACTGTATGGAGGAAAAGTCCACCGGGAAGGAGGACCGAGTGCCAGCAGGGAGGGGCCTGTTCGCACTTTTTTAAAAAATATCCTCACCCTAGGATTTTTTTCCCATTGATTTTTTTTTAGAGAGAATGGAAGGGAGGGGAGAGGGGGGAAAGCATTATTCCGCATTACTAACCGGTTAAAAGTTAATCCTCATTATTAACCGGTTAAAACTTAATCTGCATTACTAACCGGTTAATAATTAATCCACACGGATTAATTATTAACCGGTTAATAATTCAAATTAATTATTAACCAGTTAGTAATGCAGATCACTTGTTAACCAGTTAATGGTGCGGATTAATTATTAACCGGTTAGTAATGTGGATTAATGATTACTTTTTAACTGGTTAGTAATGCGGATTTTGTAATCAAAGAAAACACGATAATTTCAAGAGAAACATCAAAACTGCTTTATTCAAAGAATGTCCATCGCTAGCTACACATTTCCCCCATCTTTCAGGTAATTTGTGGATACCGTCCCAATAGAACTTTTCCTGTTTTGAGATAAACTATTCAGAGACCCAATTTTCCACTTCTTCAAACGTTTTGAAGTGCTGCTCAGAAAGTGGGTGTGCCATCGATAGGAACAAGTGGTAATCTGAAGATGCAAGGTCTGGTGAATACGGCAGGTGGGTTAATACTTCCCAGGCAAGAACTTTTAACGTGTCTTTAACTGGTTTTGAAGTGTGTGATGGTGCCTATTCTGGTCGTTTTATGATCAAAGTGTGGTTCAAATTGATTATTTGTTGTCAGTGGTGATCAGTATTAATGGGTTCACCTGGCATTAGAAGCTCATAATACACCACACCTTCCTGATCCCACCAAACGAAGAGCATTGTCTTCTTTCCGAAGCCTCCCTAAGAAGGTCTTTGGGGGGTGCTGATGGAGGTGAGAGGCATCCCCAGCTATGAAAGGACACTGGCTATGGTAGGAAGTTGGGTATACGTCGGGAATGATTTTCAGGTGTGTCTCCTGTGCCTCAAAACCTCTCAGCACTGTCTGGGCAAGGGGAGGCTCTGAACAGTTAAGATGGGACAGCCTCATCTTACCTGTTAGACTCCATTTAACGGGTCTTTGCTGAATAGCTTGTTCGTGTCAGGCACCAGAGAGCCTGGGGGTGCCAGAGAGAGAGCTCAGACTCGCTGCCCGACTGAGAAGAGTGGGTGTCAGGAGGCCTGAGCTCAAGTCCTGGCCCTGCCCTCACTGACAGTGTGGCATTAGGTGAGGCATTGTCTTCTCTGGGCCTCAGTTTCCCTGTCTTTAAAACGAGATGGCCGGCCCTGGCCAGGTAGATCAGTTGGTTAGAGCATTGTCCTGATACACCAAGATTGTGGGTTTGATCTCCAGTCGGGGCACATCAAGAAGCAACCAATGAATTCATAAATAAGTGGAACAACAAATTAATGTTTCTCTTTCTCTCAAATCAGTCAATCAATCAAATAGTCAGGTTTCTAGGAGTTGAGAGGAGGAAAGGCGGCATGATTGCTGTTGGGTATGGGGTTTCTTTTGGAGGTGATGAAATGTTCTGGAAATAGATAGTAGTGATGGCAGCACAATTTTGTGAAATACTAAAATTCACTGAATGGTACACTTAAACAATGTTATTACAAAAGTGGTTGGTTAGACAAGATTACCTCTAAAAGAAGGATCACTAATATTTTTTTTGTGCCTACAATACCCAGGGTCTGGACTCAGCATTAATATTTTATCTCATGATCTCCCAGGCTCCTACCAGTTCAGACTCTGTGACCCACCACAATGATATTCACGTTGCGATCACTCATCAGTAAGTCCAACGTGAGCCTTCCTGCAGGCCCACCGCCAGCACAGAGACTGTCCCAGGAGCTGGGGTGTAGCAGTGAGCGAAGCTGACTAGCACAGAGCCTGGGGAAGAGACCGGAAGAGAAGGCCTCTCCCTGCAGGAGCTCCGAGCCTGTGGGAGAAATCAGAAGTGCATGCTGTACCCACGAGGTTATTTTCTTCAAGACCAGCTCCTTCCATTCCTTGTATAGGAAAGAACAACAACAACAAAATACAAGGATGGCCCACAACTATGGGGCCCTGCAGGGGGCTCCTGGCGTTGATGGATTCATGTATGCACGGGGGCCCTTGGCTGGGTGTTCAGGATACAATAGTGGGCGAGTCAGACCCAGCCCTCCCCTTAGGAAGAAAGACAGACTTCAGAGCAATCAAACACACCATGAAGAGTTCATTTTCATCGTCGTGATTGTGATCCGTGCAGAGGAGGAAAAGCACACAATGTAATGAACGGCTTGACAAGAATGAAGAACGCTGGCGAGGCTTGAGGGTGAGTAGGAACAAGGAAGGGGTGTGGAGAGGTGTTGGTGCTGGCCCTACCCATCTGAGAGGAGGCCAGTTTGGGTGAAGCACAGAGAGCGACGGGGCAGCCACAGCAGAAACAGGACGGGCTGACCATGCAAGGCCGTCAAGGCTGGGGGCCGTACATACCACGTATGCCCGTTGTCCCTGCTCTCTCTCTAGTGTCCCAGTTTGGACAACAAACGATACAGCCACCCTACTTACAGGCCACGTTAGGGGGTCTGTTCCAAGGAGAGCTGGTATTCCAGGAAGGCCTGACCATCACCCTCCCTGCACGCCCAGGAGCAAGGCCTGCCAGCCTGGGCGAGCACCATGGTTACTGAGCTGGATGATGTGTGAAGAGCCTTGCGTGGCAGCCCCTGGCCAACAGGCCTGCTCCTCTCCTCCCAGGCAGACCCTGCTGCCCCCTTGCTGGCTTCCCCCTCTTCAGTATCTCGAGGTGAGAGCTTTTCCACTAGGTCTCAGGCCAAGCATGGTTCTTGGCTCCAGGTCTGATGAGCCAGTCCCCAGCCGTCCCCACCCTCGGCCACTCCCTAAGGACCGGCTCCAGGACTCAGCTGTGGCCTCACGCTCTTTCCACTCTTGCTTTTTATTTTTGCCTCGTTATTTTCCTCCCTGTGTGACTCCCTCCCTCTGCTGGGCTTCTCTCTGTCTTGCCCTCCTTCTCTTTTGCTTTCCTCTCTCCAGGGTGACTTGGCATTTGTAGACAATCATGTGCTGCAGGACAGATGGAATGGGTTCCAATTGTAGCTCTGTCACCTGCTGGCTGTGTGATCACCGGCAGATAGATCCTCCTCTCTGAGCTAATTTTGGGTTTGATGAAATGGGCTGATCCGCCTTCCTCCTGTTTCTCTGGGAGGTTGTGAGCTGAGCTGAAATTCATCAAGTAGCTGCTCAGCGAATGGTAGCTTTGTCTCCCGTTCCTTTGGCACTTTCTTCGCCGTGACCTTCTGCATGTTTTGCTCACTTGACCACAAAGCAAGAAACAAAAGCCTGCCCACTGGACCCCAACCACCTTGCTCTCTGGGCTCAGCCCACCACACCCAGACTTGAGTGGAGCCAACAGCGTCAGGATCGTGTGCAGCCTGCTCACTGCTAACCCTGTGGTTGGAAGTCATGGCTGGGCTTTTCTGCCCTGGGACCCCCAGGGGATGTGGGATTTATCTTCTGAGCTGTGCTGTGACGGAGGCACCAGAGTCTTTTGTGTATCTCACCAACTGAAGGACGAGTGAGGCAGCCTTTCAACATTGCCCCCGGCCTACAGACTTCTCCTTGTCCCCCACACCACACCCTGCACTTCCTCGCCCCTGGGCCATTGCTTATGTCCCTTACCCGACCTGGAACACCTCCTGTTCCCTTTCTCTCATTTTGGGCCTTACACCTTCTCTGGGGCTTAGATGTGACAGCGGAGGAAGCTGAGCTCAGAGTGCCCTTCTAGTAGCAGCTGGGCTCTGTGATCGCGGCCTCAACAGAACCTCAGAAAGTGGGGGCGATAGAAGGGGAGGATGCTTTTGCCATCAGAAGGGGGAGGGAAACTGAGCAGGCCAAACTCGGCCTCCCCCTCCCCTAGGGGCTGTGGAGGATCTAAGAGCCAGGGAAGAGATGCAGAGTGACTGGGGATGTGAGTCCCAGCTTCTCACTTTCTGGCTGTGTGCAGGCGGACCGCCCCCCAAGCCTCTGCCTCTGGATGGCAGAGTGAGAGCAGTAACTCCCAGTTCATGGCATTGTCAATATTTGAGATCGGGAGCATAGCGTGCTAGCCCAGAGCCTGGTACACGGTGGAGGCTGTGCTAAGGGTGGTTATTATCATTGCTGTTGGTGCTTTGGGTGGGTTGATGTTCGGAGCAGGAGCTAGGGATTCTGGGAAAATGCTTCAGACAGTGGGGGCTTCCCAAAGCCTAGATCCCTGGCCCAGAGCCGAGGGGGTGGCAGTGAGAGGGGCCACTCCTCCCTGGGTAAGGATTGTGCAAGTTGTCATGTCTGTGGGGCATGACTCAGGGTCAGCCCAGCCACACCCCAAACTGCTGGTGACTTTGGCCTGGTGACCTGCCCTTTCTGAGTTCAGTGATGACTGCTCAGTGCTCCTCCTCTAAAGCTCTATGAACTCAAGAAGCGTCACCTCCCCAAGCAGCCTCACCCCCATTTTATAAAAGGGTCAAGCAGCCCTCGCTGCAGGGTTGAGCTCTGCTCCTTGTATGACTCTGTGCTGGGCACAGGACTCACAGACGACCCTGACCTGGCCCTGTGCTCAGGTGTCTGCAGCCTGCTGGGTGCATAGACATGGGCGGTCACCTGCATGAGGAAAGCTCAGTCACTGATCCCCAGTGTGACTTTGGACAAGGCACCACCCAGCTCCGGAGCTCCCCTTTGCCCATGAGTAAGGGAAGGAGTTAACCGTGAAGATGATAGCCCGTAGCCAGGCCCACACAGCCCATCTGGTCCCAACAAGGTGGCTGGGTAGCCCATCCCCCATACCTCCGCCTCAGAGTCCACTGACATCATCCCCAACCCTCTCTGTTTCCCCGGCAACCGGGGTGCTGGTCGAGGCTCCCCAGGGGTCCAGACCGTCTGGATTTCCTTACACATAACTGTACCTCGTCCACATTTTCACAATTAAATTGTCAGTTTGGGTTAAGTGTTGTCTGCTGATGCCTGTCAACCTCTCTCTGGCTCCCCTCACTCTTCACCCAGAGATGGACTTGCCCAGTCCCTCGGTGCTGTGGAAAGAGGCGAGGATGCGAGCAGGAGGCAGGAGGTCTGGGTTCCAGCCCAGCTGTGCCACACATCTGCTGTGTGGTCTTGGGCACGTCACTTCCCCTCTCTGGGCCTAGGTTTCCCCGTCTTAAAAATAGGACTAATCATCCCTGCCCAGCCTCGCTCCCTCCCAAGGCAGCTAGCTGCACGTCTCAAAGGAGCCCGTAACTGTGGCAGAGCTTAGAAAATTGTACAGCTCAGCTCAGGGGCCAGGATGGTTCCTAAAATGAGCAAGCAGACCTGGAAAGGGACTTTTCGGTGTCTTCAACTGATAAATGGGTAAGGTTAGTCCCCATTCTGACTGCAGATCTGGCCTCCTCACAGCCTGTTCTTAGACTGAACAGGCAGAAAAGGTGCTCTTCACACAGGGCCTGGACCACAGATGCAGAGTGGAGGTACCAGGCCAGAGGCCCAGGGGTCCTGCTTCCCATGAGGGCTGTACCCACACTGAGTGGCCAGGCTCCCCCTCCCCACACTGGCCTAAGCCATTCCCGCTCCCACCCCAACTTCCCTTCTCTCTCCCCTCCCTTCCCAATCTATCCCCAAATCTGCCCAGACTGCAATCCCGCACCTGACCTCACCCTTTTGGCGTCAGACCGCCTACCTGCCCCCCTTGGTAAAGCCCCTGCTCCTTAGCCCAGTATTCAGATCCCTCCCGGGCGTGGGCCTGTCCTCCTCCCCAGTCATGTTTCCCTCCTGTCGCTCTTGATGCCAGCAGCTCCAAGCCCTCCACTTACCCTTCCCTGAAACCAAACTTGTCCCTCTTGTCTTTGCTTAAGCTATTCCTGCTGCTGGGAGTAGCCTCCCTCATCCCCAGCCACCTGACAACTCCTCCCCCACCTGCACATTATTTATATAGACATGAATGCTAAGTGCAAATGACCTCGCCATCTGGAACTGTTTATGTCCCCGCAGAAGAGGAACTAACCTTTATCAAGGGCTGATTACATGCAGAACATTTTACATATATCATCTCTTTAAGCCCCACAGCAACCCGAGGTGGTACATTTCACTCCTCCTATTTCCCAGATGAGAAGGCTGAGGCTCAGAGACAGGAAGTCTTCCCAAGGCCATAGAGACGTGGGGTTGATCCCGGAATCCATGCTCCTTTTAGGCCCTGATGGAACACTTCCCTTAAGATTATGCTTGTGGCTGGCAATCTATGTACATGGATGTGCTATTAAGGGAGGTGGTGCTGCTTTGCAGATGTCAGGGACCATTGTGATATACCCAAGGCTGTCACAGGACCCAGGAAGAGAGCCAGGGTCGCAGGGGAGGCATGGATCTCTGCTCTAGCTGGAGGAGAACCTTCCCCCAAGCAGAGCCACCTCCTAATGGAAGAGCCTGGGGGAGGAGTTGTCAGGTGGCTGGGGGTGGGGAAGGCCACTCCCAGCACCAGGAACAGCTTAAGCAAAGACAAGAGGGACTAGTTTGGTTTCAGGAAAGGGTGAGTGGAGGGCTTGGTGCTGCTTTTGAGTGAGCTCCCTTCCCTGGGGGTATGCAAGCAGAGGCTAGGTGAGACATTCACTCATTCATTTGGCAACTTTGGAGCAACCGCTGTTCTCTGGCTCTGATGGGGCAGCAGGGATGCAGTGTAGGTGAGGCAAACCCAATCACTGACTGCATGCTGTTCCCAGAGCAATGGAGACATTTATTGGGGCTCTGATAGCCAGAACGTCAGGGATATGACAGGGTGAGTGGCCAGACTTTGAAATTCTAAAATGATCTTAAGCAAATGCACATTTTTAGCTTTCTTGCTATTTAAGCCTGGCCTATTCAGGTATCTCTGGCTATGGAACAAATCATGTCAAAATATAGTGGCTGACGGGGCAGATCTGCTGATCTCACTGGGCTTGCTCACGTGGCTGCGTGTGACTGGTGGGTCAGCCAGGCCTGGGTTCTGCTGGGACGGGTGGGCCAGCTGGGCCTCTCTCGATTTGGCCTCAGGGCCTCGCTCCGCACGGGCCTCTTACTATTTAGTAGTCCAGCCTGGGCTCTGACCTGAGGCTGGGCTGGGCTCCAAGAGGGTGAGAGCAGAGCTGCAAGGCCCCTGAGGCCTGGGCTTCAGGACATGTACAGCTTCATTCCTGTCACATGCATTGGTCCTAGCAAGTCACGAGGCCAGCCCAGATAAAGGGTGGGGAAACAGACTTCTTCTCTGAATGGAGTCACATTTTAAAGAGTGTGTGTGTCCTGGCTGCAAGGAATTGGTGTCATTAAATAGCTACCTCACTGGCCTTCCCCAGAAAGAGTTCAGACCAGTGACAAATTGGTCTCTTCTCTCAACCTCAGCTTCTCTCTCTGTGCAAAGAAGCACTGGGTATGGTGGGTCTCTCTGTCCCTGTGTGTGTGTGTGTGTGTGTGTGTGTGTGTGTGCAGGGAGAGACCCAGGTGTAGAAACATTGACTGTATTATATCAGAGACATGTAAGCCCAACTGTAAAAGGAACTGCCAACCTAGACTTGAGTCCCATTGGCCCACTACTTCCCATTCATCTCTTCCAGGCACTGCCCCCTGTTCATTCCCAGTGCTCCCTCCCCATGACAATAACTGCTGCCAATCAACGGAAGGGCATGTGACTCAAGCAGGCCAATCAGCTGCCTTCCCTGGGACAGATACGGAAACCCAAGGAGACAGAAGTTCTCATTTTCCTGGAATTCTGAACTGAGGCTGTTGATGGCTACATACCAGGGGGAAGGAATGAGGCCCACATCAGCTCAAAGAGAGCAGCAAGAAACAGAAATGAGTTTCAGACAGCCTTCCTGGGGGGCCACCGGAGCCCCATCACCAGCCCCAAGCCCTAGTGAGTACCACTCTCCATTCTAGTCACCAGCCACCCTAATCTCTCCCCCAGCTGCATAAGCCAATCAGTTCTCTTATGTTTAAGCTACTTGATGTTGAGTTTCTCTCTTGGAATTGAAAGAGGCCTGAGACACACAAACATTGTCTCCTGAGCAGCTACCACCACAATTAAACAACTGAGAGTTGAAAGCAGTCTTTCAGAAACGACGCCCTCAGTAGACATGATAGGTGGCCTTTGTTATGTGCACCCAGGAAAGAACCCTCTGGGCTGGCCCTGGCCCTCTAGCCTGCTCCCTGATCCTGTAAAACAACAATTGCTTATCCTAGGGAACAGAGGAGGAGAACAACACAGTGGGCAGAGGCTCGTCAGCCCTCAGCACTGGGTTTGCAACCAGGCTCTAGCGCTCACTGCCTATGATACGAGATCTTGCAGAAATTACCAGACAGGCCTGGGCTCCATGTGCTCATCTGCAGAACCAGGCCTGTCGCACCCACAGGCACAGAAACTGCCTGGCACACAGTAGGTGCTTGGTCAACACTGTTATTTCTTTCCCTCAGCGTTATCTTCCAGGAACTTTGGGAGGGAATGGCGTAGTGGTTTGCCCACTGTACAGATGATGAAACCAAGGATCGCAGAAGCTGGGTGGCTTGCCCGGGCTTACAGTGGGTAAGTGAAGGAGGAGAATCTGGGACCCAGGCCCAGGTGCTATAATGACATGCCTGCTGCTATTTGATCCTCCTCTCCCTTGCCTGGAAGCTCTGGCCTCATGGGGCACCCCAACCCCTGGGCTACTCTGCCCAGACCCCCAGTTCACCTGCCTAACTAGGAAGGCTTTTCTAAAAAGCACCCTGCAGTCTCATTGTGTCCACAATGTTTGTGTCATCCTATGACACAGGTAAGGGTCGAGACCCAAGACCTGGATTCTGGAGCAAAAAGTCCTTGGGGTTATCTAGTTTAACCCCCTCACTGACAGAGGGGGTGACTACAGTTCAGAGAGGGCAGAACAATGATTGGCTGTTACACAGCAAACTACTGATGGGGCTAAGAATACATCAGATTGCCACTTCCCACCCCCATCCAGGGCTTCTGGGGACGGCTGACTCACCCCTACCCATCTCCACCAAGGTCTTGGCCCCAAGGGAGGGAAGTTGAGGTGGGTGGAGGTTGTCAATAGAGGTCTGCACAGCAAAGAAAACTGTGGCTTCCCCTCTCCCCATGCTCTTTCAGCCTGGGTGCCCCCTGGATGGGCCATGTGCAGGGTTGGGGGTATAAAGGTGTGCGCCCTTGACCAATGGTAGTCAGGCAGGGGCTGAGAAGCCCGCTGACAGAAGCCCCAGCACATCTGGGCAATCAGATAACCAGAATCACCAAGGGTCACAGAGGAGAAGGAAAATATATTAATGTCCACAGCAGTAGCACCCAAGAGCATGCCTACCCTGCCCAGGTCAGAGCCTCCTCCCTCTGGGGCAAGCTTGCAGTCCAGGTGGACAGCACAGGCTTGACACACAGTAGCCCTTAAGGAGGCCCCAGACAAAAGGAAGGAGGAGGAACAGGGAAGGGGAAGGTCAGCTTGTTCTAACGATGAACAAAAATTCTTCTTACATGTGTCTTGGGGAATACCCGATGTCTGAGGTGGTAAAGTACTCCCTCTATTACAAATGGAGAGCCTGGGGTGCAAGGAGGGGCAGACCCTTGTTCCAGGTCTCCCTTGACTCTCAGTCCAAGGTTTTGCCATCACTTCCTCATGCCCTGATCCCCACCCAGGGCAGGGCTGTTCCAGACCTAGCTGATGCCTAGCTCTTGATTCTGGAGACAGAGCAGAGTAGCTGGGAGGAGCCCAGGAAGGGTCAGAGCTACACTTCAGGAGTCCTGGGATCTTCTCCTGGCTTCCCTCTCAAGACAATCGAAAGTCACTATCCTCCGCTCCTGTTGCAATGGGAGCCACCAGCTACATGCACTCGCAGCCAGAAAGATCTGGGTTTAAATATCAGCTCCAATGCTTTATTGATTTTCAGAGATTGGCTGCCTCCTGCACGCCCCGTACAGGAGACTGAGCCTGAAACCCGGGCATGTGCCCTGACCTGACCAGGGATCAAACGAGAAACCTTTTGGTGCACGGTAGGAGGTGCACAGGAGGACACCCAACCAACTGAGCCACACAAGCCAGGGCCAGCTCCTCCCTTTTGAGCCTCGGCTTTCACATCTATGAAATGGGGATACTAATCCCCATCTTGGAGGACATAAAAGATCTGATGGGATTGTATTATTCCCATTTTATGGCTGAGGAAACTAAGGCTTCGGGGAGTTTAAGCAACGTGCTCCAGATCGCACAGCTAAAAATAAAGTTGGGCAGTCAGTATTGGAACCCAAGTCTATGTGACTCCAAATTGCCTTCTGTGCCTACTCTAGCTGGGAGCCAAAGGATGGCTTATGTAAATGTGTGGAGGCAACTGACTTAGCTTCTCAAGTGAGCAGACTGCTAGACTGAGAGGAGGGTGCATCCCAATTGAACAGAGGCCTCCTAGAATGTCTCTGGTTGTGAGGTGCAGAGTGTCTTGGGGTAGAAGAGCTAAGGACACTCTTGACCCCTAGAGGCCTTGGTCCCCAGCCTCTTGGGTGCAGCAACCTTATCTCACCCACCCTTTCTTAGATGCCTTATCCAAAGCCCCACTGGTTTCCAGAAGCTTTTATAACTATTGACTTCCCACCGCCTTCATTGGCCCCAGTTCCCTGGGAGGAGAGATGGGGCTCTTGGATGCTCTTACACCAGATTGCATGTGGTCACAAGGACATTCATGTGACTAGCATGTGCATTTGGTGTTGCCCGCTTGGAAGCTGTGTGTGCAGGGAAGCACACATGTGCTTGTGCATGAACTGGTTGGGGGCAGTCGTATTTGCCACATCTCGAAGATGTGTGTGGCCATTTCATTCCTATGTGCTATTGAGAGTGTGTGGGCATATGGTGTACGCAAGTACCTCCTGTTTGTGACCATTTGAGGGGTGATGTGTCCCAGCCCTGTGTGCAAGATGGGCTGGCTATCCATCTGCGGAGGGTACTTGTATGGCTGAGAGCCTGAAGTGGGCTCTGTGGACGCAGACGTGTTTGTTGTATGTGAAAGGTACCTGGTTTGGGCAGCCTATGGGTGACACTTCACGGGCAGCTGCAAAGAATGGGGAAGAGAGTACCAGGAGGTTTGGAGGCCCTGAGACAAGCCCCTTCCCATTAAGTGTATGTTTCATCTTCTGCGAATGAACTAGATCTTCCTTGGGACTGAGAACCCTGGGGCTGGGGGTGGGGGGGGGCGGGAATGGAAGCCATGGAAACCTCAGCACCTGACCCAGCAAAATGGGGAGGAGCCTGCATCCTCGGCCAGGAAGGCCAAGGTGGGGGATTAGGAAGATGGGCAGTCACCCAACCAGAAACACAGCGCCAGCCCCAGGCCCGGAGGCACCAATGTGGTCCCCTTTAGCTTCTGAAACCCAGTCCTCCGCCGGTGACCCCCTGGGGACCGGGGCAAGGTGGCCAAAGGCTTCCCACACGTCATCCCAGACGCTCAGCTAGATGCCTGCCGCCTTGGCGCCTAAGGTTTACAGCGCGCTTCCCAACTCAGAGTCCGTGTGCCTCCTTTCTCCGCAGAGCTCAGGATGGCGATCCCTTTCCCAGAACTGGAACCAGAGGCCTTGGGAAATGGCCCCAGGAAGGACGGACTGGTCCGCCAGCGCAGCTGTCAGATGCCCGGCACCCGAGCTGCACACCCAGTGATGCCCGCCCGGGCTCCAGACGGGACAGAAATGGGACTTCCCTCTGAGCCGTGGCTTCCTCCTCTGTTACACTAGGTGTGTTGGGGCTCTTTGTCGGACTTGCTGGGAGGTTTAGAAACCTGCCTTACCTGGCCCCGCGCGCCGCGCCGCAGGCACGCAGTAGGCTCGCAGCAGGCACGCTTGGTAAACGCCAGCTACGGTTAGTAAGTCCCCTCTCTCTTTGCAGCTGAACAGGCTGCGGAGCCCTCTGCTCCGCTGGCGCCGCGGGTCCGCGGCATCTGCAGGGACCCCGCCCCCGGCCCCCGCGCGCGGCGGGAGCCACCCGGTGGGGTTTCGGCGCGCTGACGTGGGCGGATCAAAGCGGCTGCCCGCGCCTTATAAAGCCGCCTGGGCGGCCCGCGCCGGAGACCGTGCCCCGCCAGGACGCGAGAGGGGCGCGCGGGCGGGCGCAGGCCCTGGGAGAGGAGAAGGGCGCAGAGCAGCCTGAATCCGCAGCAGAGTCTCCGCGGGACCCGAGCCGGCCGCCGCTGGCCAGGATCCCGGCGAGCGCCCCTCTCCCGCGGCTTGGCCAAGAGGGCGCCCTCGCCGCCTGCCCAGCCCGAACAGCGCTGGGGGCCGCGCTCGCCGCTCCTCCGCCAGCCCGAGCAGCCGGCCACTCGGGGCGCAGCCAGCGAGCGAGCGCCCCAGGAGGTGAGCAGTGACTGCGGGCAGCGGAGGGTGCTCAGCCGGGATCTGCTGGGGTCGGGGGCGGCCGAGTCCGGAGGGGACGGCGCGACCCCGCTGGGCAGCCCCTCCCGGGCGAGCAAACCAAGCCCCCTCCACACGTCCCCTCGCGGCATTCCCCCTACGGAGCGCAGCCCGGGGCCGGGGGCTCGGGCGGTCCGCGGGTGAGGGATGGAGGTGGCCTGTGCGGTCCCCGCGGCCCGCGCGAGCCTTCCTGGCCCTGCCCCCCCGGACCCCTCCCTCCCAGTCAGCCCGCGGATGAGGTCATGCCCGAGCCATCCGGGGGTGGGGGACTTGGACCTTGCGGCAGAGGGTGTGTGGCAGGGCGGGAGAGGGTGGCAGAAGGCAGAGGACCACGACAGCTCTCACCAAATTGGGGGCTGCAGGTGAACGCCCCGCTCGAGACCCGGTCTCAGAAGCGGCGGGAGTTTGTTTACAGACCTGCGCTCCAGGCTGGGGGTGGGGAGGAGGAGAGTCCTGTCCGGGCTGAGGCACATCTGGAGCCGCCCGAACATCTGGCTGAGCTCTCGCAGGAGCCCCACATCTCCCACCTCTGGGGGCTGCGGTGCTTTCATCCCCTCACTGTCCGTGGGCGCTCAGGGTCGGCTCGGAGGGGTAGTCGGTCGCCCCCGAGTGCCTCTACCCCACCCTTCCCACTTCCAACATAACTCGCCTCGCGGGTAGCCCGGAGCGCCGTCCGCAGCGCAGCAGTCCCACCTCTCAGTCCTCCAGCGGCTCGGGTCGGAGCCGGGGTGCGGCCCGGCCTCGCTCCGCATCGCAGGTAAAACCTTGAAGCGGTCGCTCCGTGTCACCGGCTCGCGGGGTCGGCTCCTCGAGCTGCACAGCCTGAGGCTCGGGTCCGGCGGGCGCCCACCTAACGCGCCCTGTCCCCCGCCCCGCGCGCCGTGCCGGTTCTCGACCCAGCGTGGGCTCATCCCGGCAGGAGAGACTCGGCACATCCCCGCCGGCTTGGCTCGGAGGGGCTGCCGCCCTAGAAGCGGGTTGCCAGGGACCTCCGGAGCCCAGGCTTCTGGCCACCTGTGGAGCCGGCTGCAGCCGCTGCGCTCGCGGTGCCCTGGTGCGCACAGCCGGCGGCCACGTCTCTCGCCCGCGGCCAGCGGGTACCGTGGACTTTATTCTCCGTGGGAGGAGGAAGGGACCGCGTATCTCTCCAAAGGCACAGCTTAGACCTGGGCCCACTACGCGCCCGGCCCCAGGGGAGGCTCGGCCCCAGGCCCAAAGCAAAGGGTCGGGTCGGGTCGGGCCGGGCAGTGGGGGGTGCCCGCGGCAAGTGGATGTCTTATGGGACGACTAGAACTGAGAGGGAACTTACCCAAACACCATCCCACCCCCAGGCTGGGGCACTGGGACCCAGGAAGAGGAGGGGACTTGCCCAAAGTCCCAGAGCACTAGAGTCAGCCGCCTGTCCTACCTCGAGCCCCCAACGTAGCGCCCCCTGGCGGCCGGGGCTGGGGAGGCGAGTTCTCCCTGACCCGCGGGGCACAGGCTGAGGGTGACCCAGCGGCCCGAGCGGCTGTCCTGGACGCATGAATACCGGACAGGCATAATCCGTCAGCACCCAGGGGCCCTGGCCAGGCACGACCTCCGCAGCGACGTGCTGGGGCAGCGGAGAGAGGGGACCGGGACCATCGGGACAGCTCGGAAGGAGCGGAGGAGCTGGAGGCCTGGGTCCCGGTGAGCAGGGTGACCGGGCGGCCCCTCCTCTCCCTGGCAAGTAGGGCTGAACACGTATACCCCACTGTGAGTCTTCGCTCTCCCCCTTCGCGTGCAGCCCCTCTCTCCTTCCCACCCTGGAATGCGGGGCGCCTGGGGGTGGGGTGGGGGAGCGTAGCCCACACTTTGGGGAGGGTGAGGGCGAAGAGAGACGGTGGCTGGAGGTTTGATCTCCCTTCCCCCCATATCCAGCGATATTTCTCTCATTCTCAGGAGTGTGGTAAACTTTCAAGGCCAGGGAGACAAAGGGGTTGGATACAGGCTGGGAGGGAGGAGCGAGCTCAGTTACACGGAGAGCCCCGCTGAGACCCCCAGCCTGGACTCGCTTGTTTGTAGTCAGCACCTCCGCGTCAGGCGCCTGGCGGGACACTGCGAAGGAGAAAATGCCTTTCATTCCGGGTTCTCTCCCTGTCTTCCTCTGGAATACAGCGGAAGGCTCCAGAAAACAGGGGTGTTTCAGATCTGTGTGTGTTTAAGGCACACACGCACATGCACATACTACACAGGTATACGGAAGAGAGGAAACCGAGGCAGAGGGGAGCTCAGACACCCCCAGACTGCTGGGAGGCTGGGAAGACCCCAGGAGATGCGCCTCGGAGTCCAGTCGCTTGTGTTGATAGAGAGGGAGACTGAGGCTGGGGCGATGGAGGGCTTGTCCAAACGCACACAGCTAATGAGAGCGCTCCCTTCCCGCTCGAGCTCCCCCACTAAGGCGGGCGCCTACTTTTTCCAACTCCCCAGACCCTTTAGAAAGGAATCCCTTTGTCTCTGCGCCTCCCCAGGGGAAAGGGGCTGGGGCTGTGAATGTGTCCAGGCGAGCGCCAGGTGTTGGTAAATTTGGAGGAAGCTGGGAAGGTAGTTAATGAGGCAAGAATGAAAGGGGGGAGGGAAGGAAGAGAGAGAAGAAAAGAGAGAAAAAAAAAATAGCCGAAGAAAGCGGTTCTGCGTCTTGGAGGCGGCAGGGGTAGCGTCTGCTCCGCGGCCCCAGGACGCCGCCTGGCGGCGGGAGGCGGCATTGCTCCGGCCCGGTGCGCTTGCCTGCTTAGCCCACAGGCTGCCCAGCCTGGGCTCTGGCCTGGGCACCACCGGACCCTCCCTCCGAAGGGGGACGACAGGAGAGGGACTGGGGAAACCGGCATCCTGAACAGCCCTCCCTGTACAAAGACCTTTGCCATCCCATGTCTCACCCTCCCCTTCACAGACTGAGAAACGGATGCCCAGGGCAAGCCTGCATGTCCTTGTCTTCTCATAGTCCAGTGGTTCTCAACCTTCCTGATGCCGCGACCCTTTAATACAGTTCCTCATGTTGTGGTGACCTCCAACCATAACATTATTTTCGTGGCTACTTCATAACTGTAATGTTGCTACTGTTATGAATTGTAATGTAAATATCTGATATGCAGGATGTATTTTCATTGTTACAAATTAAACATAATTAAAGCATAGTGATTAATCACAAAAACAATATGTAATTGTATATGTGTTTTCCGATGGTCTTAGGCGACCCCTGTGAAAGGGACGTTCGACCCCCAAAGGGGTGGCGACCCACAGGTTGAGAACCGGTGTATAGTCCGTCATCTCACCGGGCATCCGAGTAGACGTGGGAGAAGAACATGGGATGTGGACATGCGCGCTCTGGGCTGAACAGCCCCATTGCCTATCTCCGAGCCTTGGTCTTCTCATCTGTGCGATGGGGGCAGTGATAGTACCTATCGCACAGGGTTGCCGGGAGGAGCAAATTCGATCCTGTTAGGTGAACGATGGTTATCACAATGGTATCCCCAGGCACAGTGGGAAAGGAGTCATAATGTAATAACTACTTTTGCGGAGATAAACCAGTTTTGGGCTCCGAATCTTTACCCCCCTCGCCCCCCCCCCCCCTGCCCCCGGCCTCCGCCCCAACCCCCTCGCCCTCATCTCGGTCCCTCCCCATCTCCGTGTGTCTGTCCTGGCTTCTCCCGGCGCAGTGTCGTTCAGTCTCGGTCTCCGAGCGTCTCTCCCTCTCGTTGTCCCCGCCCCGCTCTGCCCCTCTCGGCCGGGTCCCTCGGCGTCTCCGGTCCTGCCAACCGCTTCCCTTCCTGCCCGCAGTGCGGGACGCAGCCCGAGAGGCACAAAGCGGCGGCCGGGCCGTGCTGGCTGGACACGCCCTCGGCCGCGCTCCGGCGGCACCTAATTCGAGCCGGACTCCGGGCGAATCCCGGTCGGTGCGGGGCGGGAGGTGACGCCCGCCGCGCGCGGCCTCCCGGGGCCGGGCCCTCCCCCTTCGTCATTTGCATAGAACGTCCCGCGTCCCCGCCGCGGCTCAGCCCCGCGCGCCGCCCTAACCCGCGCCCCCGCTCTCCCCATTGCAGGCGCCCGGCGCGAGGACCGGCGGCGCGGCCGTGAGCGGCGCAGCTTCGGCGCGGCTCCTCCGGGTGCGACCCCCGCGCGCCCGCCGCGCGACGATGAGGGCGCGGCCGCAGGTTTGCGAGGCGCTGCTCTTCGCCCTGGCGCTGCAGACCGGCGTGTGCTATGGCATCAAGTGGCTGTAAGTGGGGACCCCGCGTCCACGCGGACGGGCTCCGGGACAGGCGGCTGGGGGTAGTGGGAGCCGTAAGGGGCCCCATGAATGGGAGAGGTTGGCTTGGGACTCGTGGGCAAGTCACTCTCCTTAAGCCTCCTTTCCCTTCTCTGCAAATACTGCCCTTCACTGCGGGAGGGCTCTGAAGCGGGAGCGAGACAGGGTGCGGGGGGACGGGGGGAGCGAGGGAATGACCCCGTCCTGGGCAGCTGCGATTTGCGCAGGACCTCCCCCGGGGCAGATGGAAAAGACAGCGTGGGCCGGGGACACAGTCCAGAGGGTCCGTGCCCTGCACGTGGGGCCCCGCCCTGTTGGTTTCCTTGTCAGCCTCCTGACCCCATTGGGGGCCCTCAGACAGCCCTGGCCCTCCACCTGGGTGACTCGGGGGAGAGGAAGCATCTGTACCTCACTCAGATCAGATGAGAAGCGGCTCTTGAAGGAACCTCGTAAACTGTCAGATGCTGTGCACATGAAGGGCATCCCTTTAGGTAGAAGTGATTAAGTGGGGGGAGGTAGATGGGGGAGAGGTGCCCTTCCAACCAGCAGAAGGGAGTGCCTGCTCTGTGCAGGCTGTGGGCCCTGCAGGGTGGAGAGAGGAGTGCAGCCCAGCCCGGTCCTGGAGGAGCTGCCTTTGGACTGGAGAAGATAAGCCCAGGCCGTAAATAACTCCAAGTGCCTTGGGGAGAGCAGGGGGTGCGGTGGGGGCCCAGGCGGGGGACCACCTGGTAGGGGACACACATTTGAGACCCTGGAGAGATTTTTCAGGTGTGCTAGGCTGGCCCGAGAGGCTCTGGGGGCGCAGGTGGGGACAGTGGGAAGGCTGCATTTTAAGTGGAGAGGTCCCCTGAGTGGTGGGAGAGTCCAGGACAGGACACAGTCTGGAGTTTGGGGTGGGGTGGGGGGGGGTGGGGGGGGTGGCTGTGTGGAAGGTTCTTGGATTAGCTGGAGGCTAGGCAGTAGTGGCCAGGCCACCAGCAAATAGTCTTGAGGTCACCAGCCCTGCTCCTCTTGGGGTTGAGCTGCCAATTAATTGGTGATTCAAGAGGGGAACCCCCTCTTCCTGCGTTTCTTGTTTGTAAGAAGCCTGGACGCAGTGGCCTCCCAGCTGCTCCTGATTAGTTTTGTGAGAAATCAGCAACCCTCCTTCTACTGCCAGTGCCTGGCACTGTCCCAGCGGGTGTCTGTCTCTGATCAGGGAGTCCACGCCTCCTCACCCACCACCACCATTTTACAGAGACGTAAACTGAGGTACAGAGAGGGAAAGGGTTTGCTAACGAGCCAAGCAGTGGCAGGCTGAACTGAGCTTGTTCCTATGGCGTTGTGGGGGACACTGCTATCCTTCCCGTGCTACCGTGGGCTCTGAGAAGTATGTGGCTTGCACAGCCCCCACGCTGGCATGAGGGTGGGAAGGGCCTGGAACAGACAGCTAGCTAAGCCTAACGTCCTTGCTGTCCCCACTACATAGCTCAGGCTGCCACAAAAATGGTTACAGCTCAGTGTCTGCCCTAAGGACCTCCTAGCCCAGTGATGGTGAACCTTTTGAGCTCGGCGTGTCAGCATTTTGAAAAACCCTAACTTAGCTCTGGTGCCGTGTCACATATAGAAATTTTTTGATATTTGCAACCATAGTAAAACAAAGACTTATATTTTTGATATTTATTTTATATATTTAAATGCCATTTAACAAAGAAAAATCAACCCAAAAAAATGAGTTCGCGTGTCACCTCTGACATGCGTGCCATCGGTTCGCCATCACTGTCCTAGCCTCTTGGAGGAGGTGGGCATGTAAGAAAACAAACCACGTAGACTTTGGGCTGTGCTCCAGTTAGGCCCACCTCGGGCAGGTGACTTGTGGGCTGGGCTTTGAAGGATAGATAGGATTTTATGGTCAAGGATGGAATGCAAAGCAGGCACCCTAGCCAGGGGGAACAGCAGGACAGAAGCGTAGAGGCAGGACCGTGTGTACGTGGGGAAACAGGGAAAGGAGGAATTAAAGGAGCCTACTAGTAAGTCCCAGACAGTGTTCCAAGAGCTTTAGTCAGGAGGTAGGTGATAGTCTTATCACTACCGTTTTCCAAACGAGGGAGCGAAGGTACAGAGAGGTTAAGTAACTGACCCGAGGTCACACAGCTAATTAATCGTGGCTTTGGGATCGGAACCCAAGCAGATGTGCCCCATGAAGCCAAACCTCTTAACAGCGGTCAGACTCTTGCTGGAGCTGAAGATAGAGGGGGAAGCAGGAGAAGGAGTGGAGTTTAAGAATAACAGCCAGTGTGTGTGTGCTGCTGACTCTTGAACAACACGGGTTTGAACTGTGCAGTTCCACTTATACGTGGATTTTTTTTCCCAGTGAATGACTACTGTTTTCCATCCGCGGTTGGGAATCCACGGATGTGGAGGGCCAACTGGATGCATTGATCTACACCATTTTAAAAATGGGACTTGAGCATCTATGGATTTTGGTATCCACAGGGGTCCTGGAATCAATCCCCCATGGATACTGAGGGACAACTTAAGTTTTGGGGGAGTCAACATTTATATGTGGATTTCTGACGGCACATGGGGCAGGGGGGCGGTTGGTACCCCTAACCCCCAAGTTGTTCAAAGGCCAACTGCATATGACCTCGCTACAAACCAGACACAGTGCTCAGTGCTGTGTGTATATTGTTTCATTTAAATCTCCCAACCAGCATATGAGGGGGGCTCTGCTATCACCCCCATTAAACAGAAGAGGACATGGCGGCACAGGGAGTGTCTAGCTCACAGGCTGTCCCAGCTGGTCAGCAGCAGAGGCAGGATTTGGAGTTAGGCTGTCTGCCCTGTGGCCTGTTGGTCTCAGGCAGTCACCGGACAGCTGGGAACAGGGAAGTGTACAGGGCAGGTGGAGGCTGAGGACTCATCCAGGAAGACTCAGCTGTCCTGGGGGGGCCCTGGGGGGCGGGCGATGGGGGAGGGGGCTGCTACCCTGGGGTTTGGAAAGTGAGCTAAAGATGAAAGGGCCATTTGACACAGGAACTGAAACCAGATGTGGCGGAGTGACCTGGAATGCCCACCTGTTGGGCACCTGGGACTCAGCCTGAGTTTCCTGGTGGGATGAAGGGTAAGGGGGAGGGGGACAGAGCCTGGAAGCTTGTGGAAGCAGCTGACCAGAGAAAACTTGAGGTGCCCCTCTACTACCTCACCTCCCACCTAAGTCAGGTGCTAGGAGAGTCTCAGACCGGCAAGTGTGGGGGGACCCAGGTGGGCTGTCCGCCCCCTTCTCTGGCTGCCCCGGGTGGGGGTCAGGGGAGGTGGCTCCAGCCTCCTGTGAACCCCTGGGGCTGTCAGGTTGGCTGGGAGGGTCCATAACGGCCACCCCCCTCCCTGGGCAGCCTCAAGCCTGCCACTCACTCAGGGCCGAGACTCTCAGGAAGGGGCCCCCGGGGTCTCCAGAAGGCATGGAGCTGCTGCAGCGGTGGGGGACCTGGATCCCCACCTGAGCTCTGCCAGCTCACCAGCACAAGCTAGGCCTCCCTGGGCCTCAGATTCATCTCCCAAGTGGGAGTGAGAACGCCTACCCTGGGGTCTGGGAGGCCTGGGTTCTAGCTTGGCTCTGCCTCTGTGGGCTGTGTACAGGTCTGGGCAGGCCCTGCCCTCCTCGGGGCCTCATTGTCCCCACTTACACAATGAGACGGGGACATGTTGGGTGAGCAGCAGAGCAGAAACGGAAACCCAGGTCTCTGCCCCCCAGACATTCCCAGGAGAACCCCAACTCCCGAAAGAAAAGACCAGGCTCCCCCCCGCCCCCCTCCCGCCAGCAGCACCCTTGGCATAGGCCTTGCTGTGAACTCTCTGTTCCCTCCTGTCCTCTCTCCCACCCTCTCCCCCATGTCCCCACCCCCAGACAAAGCAAAATGTTTTCAATTAGGGGTCTGCTGCAGTGAGGCAAGCGGGTAGAGATGTCCAGACGGGTAACTCCCCCGCCTCCCGCCCTAATCCTTGATTACCTCCCCAAGGGGGACTTAGTTAGATACGGTCATTACCGCTAATTACCAGATGACCGAGTCTCCCTCCTTGGGAGTGGAATCCACTGCCTCCCACCTCCTGATCTCCCAGCCTGCACACTCCCGTGGGCGGTCCTCCCCTCCACACCTCCTGGACCTCTCTGTCCCAGCCTCCATCCTGTGCCTTCCCCGGGGCCTCTGGACCACTTCTTAGGTGTCCACCACCCGCCTGGGCAGTCTGCGCCTTGCATGGGGGCATTCTCACTGCGGTGTCCCTCATAGCACCTTCTCTCAGCATCAGCTGGGGAGGAGGATGCTTGGTGAGTGGCCCAGGGTCCCCAGGCACCAAGGTTCCCCGGAAATACAGAGCACATGTCCCAGGGAGCCACAGCGCTCACCATTCAGGGATTGCCGGAACTGAGCTCCCCGGGAAAGGCTGGGCTCATGTTACCCCACTTGTTGGCCTGAGCAGGAGTGCCGGGAGAAGACCTGGAGGGAGGCAGCCACATGGCTTGAGCGCCCACTGCATGGTTGGTACTGTACCGGGTTTTCTGGTCTATCCCATGTGATCCTACCCACTAGGGAACAGAAAGCTGACTCCGAGGGGAAAAGAGAAGGCTGGGCGAGGGGAAGTGCAGAGCAGCTCAGGACAGCTGAGCATGGATGGCTCCCAGCCCAGCAGAAAGGGGACCCCGGAAGGGGAGGCCAGGCCAGCAGGAGGATGGTGTCAGGGGGAGGCCGAGCACACAGGCACTGGGTGTCTTCAGTGTCCTCCTCTGTACAAAGCGGGGAGCGGCAATAATCTCGTCCCCGCCCACCCCTCTGGGTGTTGTGAGAACGAGATGAGGGATATCGGCAGAGGCTCTGCGACTGGGGCTGCGTGTGTGGACAGTGTCTGCGAGGCGGAGGTGGAGGGGGTCATGCTGAGGGATGGTCTCTGCCTCTGTGTGGTCACACCTCACCCAGTACAGGCTGCAGGGACGTAGACCACAGGTTCCCCAGCTTTGGCGGACCTCAGCGGCTCAGAAGGCCAGGTAGGAGCAGACAGTTCAGGGGAGACCCAGAAACCGTGCCTGAGGTCTGGTCTGCGTGCTGGCGCTGGCATCCAGGTGCACCACGCACCTCCTTGCTCATGGTTTGGAGGTGGGGATTCTGTGCTGAGTTACTGAGGGCAGGGGCTAGTCTACGTGAATCCCTTCAAGGCTGCGGGGTCCCTCCAGCCTGCGCTTAGAGGAGGTGCTGCCCAGGGGAGTCTGCTCCTCAGAGAAGGCCCGGGAGCAAGGCAGATTCAGGATGGACCCTTGGTCCTGGGGTCTTGGAATCCCAGTGCCCAGGGACAGGATCTGGGAAGCTCTTAGGTCCTATCTCATCGGCAGGGTTCGTAGAGACCCCCTAGGCCAGTGTTTCCCAAAGCACGGATGAGGTCAGCACTCCTTGCAGGGTGTCGTGCTCAGTAGGCCAGGAGTGAAACAGAACCAAGCCTGCTGCTTCGCTGCAGCCTTTCGCAGGGACACAGTATGTCGGGTTTCCTAACTATGCCTGAACACGGGTCCCTTTTTTCAGCATCTCTCTGGACTGGGACCCATTCTGGGAAATATATGTGTCGGTGCAGACACCGAGGCCCAGAGAGACAGGGATTTTTCTCAGCTCACACAGCAAGTTAACGGCTAAGTCCGTTTTATCACAACATGAGTGGCTCTTTGCTCCTGGAATAGCAAGCAATCCCTTGTATGTGTGTGGGACTTTACAGCCTAGTCAATGAGTTTAATGATTAGATGAAGCAATGATGGAAAGCTCTTAGCTCATGTTCTGCACTTAGTAAATGCTTAATTCCTACTGTGTGTTATGATGATGCTGATCATAAAAATTAGCACTTCGCACGGTGTCTGGCACACTGTGAGTGCTCCATGCGGAATGAATGTTAAGTAAGGAGGAGTTAATTCATAGCTGTGAGAGAACTAAATAAAGGCAATGGATGTGAGTACCTTTCAAACTGTAAAATGGTTTATTGCTAGTGGACTTATAATAAAGCTTAGGTAGGATGGAGGTCGTGATCCTATGTTATAAATGAGAGCCTGAAGCCCAGAAAAGGGTCAATGATGTGCCCAAGGTCACAGGGGGAGGAAGAAGGAGGGGCCATACTTCTGCTGGGGACTGGGCTTTGCCTCTTGGTTTCCTGGCTCTTTCTGGCAAAGGCTCCAGAGCCCATGGAGGAGAGGGTGGGGCCAGTAGGACAAACGGGTGGAAGTTATGTGGCCCCTCATGCCCTGCCATTTCTTTCACCGTTGTGACCTCTTGGTGGTGCACAGGGCGCTGTCCAAGACGCCCGCAGCCCTGGCTCTGAACCAGACGCAGCACTGCAAGCAGCTGGAGGGCCTGGTGTCCGCGCAGGTGCAGCTGTGCCGCAGCAACCTGGAGCTCATGCACACCGTCGTGCACGCCGCCCGCGAGGTCATGAAGGCCTGCCGCAGGGCCTTTGCGGACATGCGCTGGAACTGCTCTTCCATCGAGCTGGCCCCCAACTACCTGCTTGACCTGGAGAGAGGTAGGGAGCCAGCAGGGGCTGCCAGGGCCTGCGGAATGCATGCAGGTGGGGATGGGTGAATTCAGGCATAAGTATATGTGTTTAGATAGGTGGGTGAATTCATGGGTGGATGGATGGATGGCTATGTGATGGGTGGATGAGTGAGCAGATGGATGATAGACGGATACACAGAAGGTTAGAGGTGTGGATGGATGGATGGGTGGATGAATTAATCATAGATGTGGGTATTGAGGCATGAACTGATGAATGAATAAACACAGAGTGAGTGAATAGACCAGCGCAGAGGAGCCTGAATGACAGCACAAATGCTCATTGTACCCCAGCGCACAGATGAAGGGAAGGATGATGCCAGGAAGGCTCTTGGAGGGTAAGGGGAGTACGGGACGAGAATGTGATGGAGCCCACCCTTGGGGCAGACTGCTGTTCACAGGTAACACTAGCCCAGGCCGACGGAAGTTGCTGCGAGATGCACAAAGTGCTGTGTGGGCTAAAGAACATCTGTGGAGAGGACTTCCTGGAGGAGGTGGCTTCTCGGGTGGATCTGGGGAGGGTGTGTACAACAGAGAGACTTTCTATGGGCAGAAATGCCCTAATGGATCTAGTCTGTGCTCTGCACGGTAACAGCCAATGTGTGTGCAGCACTTGACAAGGCTTCCTTTCTTCCCAAAGTAGTTGAACTCTAGAGCCAGCCTGAGGTAGGTATTCTCAGCCTCATTCCACAGCGAAGGAAACGGAGGCTTGAGAAGAGGAGGTGATTTTCTAGTAAAGAGATGGAGCCAGGGCTTGGGCCCAAGGCCAAGCCACCCTGCCACGGAAGCACACTGGCCTCCATTTGCTAGGGCTGCAGTCACGAAGTACCACAGACGAGGGCGAGGGGTTGCTCAAACAGCAGACATGTGTTGTCTCACAGCTCTGGAGGCTGGGAGTCTGAGATCAAGGCGTAGGCAGGGCTGTGCTCTCTCTGAAGGAGCCGGGGAAGGGGCTTCCTGCTTCTTAGCTTCAGGTGGTGGCTGGACGCCCTCATGCTCCTTGGCTTATAGCTGCATCTCTCTAATCTCCGCCTATCACATGGCCTTTTCCCTCTATGTGTCTCTGATTCCAAAACTCCCTCTCCTCTAAGGACACCAGTCATGGCATTAGGGTCCACCTTGATCTAGTATGACCTCGTCTTAGCTCAGTTACACCTGCAGAGATCCTATTGTTAAATAAGGTCAAGTTCACAGGTACAAAGGGTTAGTACTTGAGCAGATCTTTTGGGGGAAACATTTCAACCCACAGTGGGCTCTTTGAATGCTCATGTTGCCCATCAGATCATGAGCTCTTTGCAGAGCTCAGGGGCAGGGCCTTCATCTCCCTAAAGCAGCCCTAACGCTGCGTGGAGGGCAGGCAGGGGCAGGTACAGGTGCATGAGTGTGTGGGAGTGAGGGTGTGCTTATGTGCGTGGGGGACGGGGCTCCGCTGTCCTGTGTGAGTGTGTGTGTGAGTGTGTGTGTGAGTATGAGTGTGCATGTCAGCTAGTGTGTGTGTGGGAGGATGTAGGGGTGACAGATTAGTGGCCCAAGCTCTGTCCTCCATCTGCTCCACCCTGCTTGCAGCCCCTGACCACATCTGACCTCACAAGAGCAGATGGGGGCCCAGGAAGAGGCCTTCAGGCCTGGGCTGGGTGCTATCCCTCGGTCACCCCACATGGCTGACATGCACCTTCCCACAGGGACCCGGGAGTCCGCCTTCGTGTATGCGCTGTCAGCAGCCACCATCAGCCACGCCATTGCCCGGGCCTGCACCTCCGGCGACCTGCCTGGCTGCTCCTGCGGCCCTGTCCCAGGTGAGCCACCCGGGCCCGGGAACCGCTGGGGAGGATGTGCGGACAACCTCAGCTACGGGCTCCTCATGGGGGCCAAGTTTTCCGATGCTCCTATGAAGGTGAAAAAAACAGGATCCCAAGCCAATAAACTGATGCGTCTACACAACAGTGAAGTGGGGAGACAGGTAACCACCCACCCCACCCACCCCAGATGGTTGTGCTTGTGCCAGTCGGCCAGAAAAGGCCACCCAGTGTGCCCCGATGGAAGGGTGGCGGGGGGGATGGGTCCTGATAACACCCACACTGATGGGCTCCCGTCCTCCCCCAGCTCTTCCCTCTCCAGCTGTGCGGGGCTTGCCTGGCTCCTTCTCCAGGGGGTCCACTGGGATTTGGGTTGGAGAATGTTGGCGGAGAAGAAGAGGCACTGAGCTAGGAGTCAGGAGCTCTGAGTTCACACCTTGGCTCTGGCAATCAGCTCTGTATGCAAGTCACTTCCTGTCTGGCCTCAGTTGTTCCCATCTATACAATGGGGGGTTTGGTGCTCCTGAGTCCCTATGGGCCGTCTTCTCAGGCTCTGCCTCTGGGGCTCTGGGCCCACACTGGGTGTGGGAGGAGGCCTGGAGAGGGCTGTGGGGCAATGAGCTTTAGCTTAAGGAATTGCCTCTTGGGATCTAATGGGAACTCCCTCCCGGTTCCAAAACCCACCCTAACCTCCAAAACAGTGTTCCCCAACATCTGTTATCAGTTTTTCCTTAATTGCTCACCTCATTCCACAGACGATTGGGGGAGTGAATGAATGGGCCTTTTTATTTGTTAACAATTAAAAAAACACACCTTTATGCCAACCTGTGTGCCAGACACCGGTTGGGTGCCTGGTGAGTGTTCTCCCCTGCGGTCCACAGTCCACCTGTGAGGAGGTACTGCTGTCTCTTCCTGCAGCCGGAGAACAGGCCCAGGAGGGGCAGGGTGCGGCTGCAGATGGCATCTCATGACCTCCTCCCTGCAGCTCCGTGAGGCCCATTTTCAGAGACACCAAGTGAGGCACAAAGAGCTGAGGGGGCTCAACCCAGGGCACAGGGCGCAACGGAGCCCAGGTCTGTGGGGCTCCAAGACCCAAGGCTTCCCTGCCCTCACCTCCCTGTCTCACTGGTCTTCCTCGCGTGCGCGTTCTAGGGTGTTCGCGCCACCTTTGGACGTTTGGGGAAACTGAGGGCAAGTCACACTGTGAGTCTGTAGCAGAGCCTGGCCAGGGACCCAGGACTCCAGCCTCCCAACCTCGGGGGGCCTGCCCCCCATCCTTGGAAATTCAGCGGGAGCCCCTCACCCAGCCCCCAGTCTAAAAACCCAGCCCCATTCTCACCCACGGCCAGGCCCAAACCCCATGCAGCCAAGGGCACAGCCATCGCCCCCTCCATGCAGTCCAAACAGGGTCCTCAGCCAGGGGCACGTCGGACTTCACCCTGGCTCGATGCTAAGAGCTGTCCCCTCTGGGGCCATCGGCAAACAGGAGTGGTCCCGGCCTTAAGCCCAGGGCCTGTGAGGGGCAATGGCATTTCAGGTGCAGTGTGTTCAGGGCCAGCACACAGCTGAGCTGGGGACATAGCTTACCTTTCCCTGAGGTACAGTGGGGCCTTGACTTACGAGTGTCCCGACTAACGAGTTTTTTGAGATACCAGCTGTCGGCCAATTTTTTGCATTGAGTTGACAGAGTAATTTGAGTTAACGAGCTCCTTAATGAGCTCGGTTTCAGAACGAATGAAACTCGTAAGTCAAGGCCCCACTGTACTTTCCAAAGTACCTCCCGCCTCTGGAGGCTGAGCGTGTCCTGCAGGGGCTCATTCACTTCATCCATGAGCTCTCTCTCCACAGGCTTCCCTGAGCCAAGTCCAGATTGTATACCCAACGGACTCCCTCCATCCCCACTTCCAGGCACGGTGAGGCGGAAGGAGCCCTGGGGCCTTGGCCAGTGCCCTCACTCGCTCACCGAGTGATTCTGGGCAAGTCCCTGCCCACTCCGAGCCTCAGTTTCCCCATCTTGGTGATGCAGGGGGTAGGCGTAGGGGACCTCTCAGCCTTGTAGCTGTCTGCACAGGGCAGGCAGGAGGGCCGGCCTGGCACCCGGATCCAAGTCCTGTGTGCAAAGCAGCGGGAGTTAAAAGGCAGAATGGAAAGGGTCTGATTCATGCCCCTCAGGTTCACCTGGGGAAACTGAGGCCCAGGGAAGATGGTGGAGCAGAGCTACTTTCAAAGCCAGGGCCAGGGCCTCCCCAAGCCCCAAAGCCCAAGCCTCCCCCCTCCACCAGATTATTACTTAGATGGATTTTTCAAAACCAATGTTGCTTTAAATTTTATAGTTCACAACACCCGTTCATGTATGTCATTTCATTGCATTCTCATGACTAAGCAAGGTGACAATTCCGTGTTGACATAGGAAGACAGAGGCGCCGAGTGGTGACGAGGCTTCCTGAGGGTCACCTGGCAGGAGCACCAGCAGTGGAAGGGAAAGATCAGCCAGGCCAGGGAACCCCCATGCACTCACCTCCTGCTTCCCCTCCCTCCCTCCCTCCCTCCCTCCCTCCCTCCTTCTTTCCCTCCTCCCTCCTTCTTCCCTCTCTTCTTCCCTCCCTCCTTCCCTTCTTTTTCTTTCCCCCCTTTCCCCCCCAGCTCTTAGTAAAACCAGTTTTGTGTGAGAGAAAAAGTATGGACAGTTAAAAGCCATGACTTTTGGAATTGCCCTCAGACCTGGGTTCAAATCCCAGCTTCAAGGTTTCCTGGCTGTGCAGCCTTGTGCCTGAGGCTTAGCCTGTCTGGCCTTCATTTCCTCCTTTTACTATGGGGGGAATAATGAGACCTCTGAGCAGGGCTGAGGTGCTGATTAAGCCCTAGCATGTGTTAGATAGAGCGTTTGTGTACAGTAGGTTGTATAACTGGCATCCACTATCCTGAAATGCCACTCTCTTCCTGCCCCTCCCAGCTGCCCCCCAGTTTGGAGAAGGAACTGAGGACCTACAACACCCCCAGCTTTAGATAAAAAAGCCCTATCACTTGGGGTCCAGAGCAGGCAGGCGATGACTCCCTGAGAGCACCCAGCATGGGGCGGGGGGTTGGGGGAGTGGGGCGCAGGGTCCCAGGGCAGGCCAGGGAGGGGCCCTGACCACCCAGCCCAACGCCCTCCCCTGTCCGCAGGCTCTGCGTGCGTCTCTGGAAATGAAGTGTAAATGCCATGGGGTGTCTGGCTCCTGCTCCATCCGCACCTGCTGGAAGGGGCTGCAGGAGCTTCGGGACGTGGCCGCTGACCTGAAGACCCGCTACCTGTCGGCCACCAAGGTAGTGCACCGACCCATGGGCACCCGCAAGCACTTGGTGCCCAAGGACTTGGACATTCGGCCTGTGAAGGACTCGGAGCTCGTCTATCTGCAGAGCTCACCTGACTTCTGCATGAAGAACGAGAAGGTGGGCTCCCACGGGACGCAAGACAGGTAAGGGCCCGCCGCTACCCCGCTACCCGGCAGGAAAGGGTCAGCTACGTTACACATGCCCATCCCAGCTCAGGGCCAGGCACACAGTCCGGCCAGCTGGCATTGAGGGAATGGAGTCTCTGCCCAGTCGGGGGAGGTGGCCCAGGAATGCTGAGTGGAGGTGCCACCTGGCAGAGTTTCTGGGAATGGCTGTTGTGCTCCTCGCCAAGGCAGGGGCCCCTCAGGGATGGAGGTTAGTGAGAGGCCCCCACCCCACCTTCCTTCTGGCTGGGGAGACAGATGGGAAGAGACACTGACAGGCGCTAGCCTCAGTCAATGTTTGCCAGATGAATAAGTGAAAGTTAAATGTCATACAACTGGCTCACTGGCTCACGGGCCTGCGGCACAAGGGGAGGTGGGAGCAGTGGCCAGCCCACAGCGACGTGGGAAGTCTGCACAGAGTGGAGGCAGAACTGGGGCGGCCATGCTCCAGAGGGGCAGCAGGAGAGCAAGGTCTGCCTGCATCCTGTGGAGAGAGAGTGGTCCCATGTCCCCCCACATGCATGCACCCACCCCCTGAGCCCCAGCTCTCTCCCCGTGGACCCCAGTGTCAGAGCTGGGGCTGAGGTCCCTACAGCTGGCCCCATCCTGGCTGCTAAAGCCGGCTCAGGACAGGAGAGAGGGAGGGAGCCGACGAGGACTGCAGACCTACTGTGTGCCCAGCAGAGCTGGTGGGGAGCAGCATTTCCCTGGATAGCTCTGGAGGAAGCCAGCCCTGAGAAGCTGTAATAGAGACAGTTCCACACTCCTATTCATTTGGGAAACTTTCTGGCGATTCACAAGGCACGGGAACACATTAAAGGCTCCGAGGAATCCCACAGTAAAGGACCTGTCTAAGCTGTGCTTCCCAGAGGTGTTTGGCTGTGGAACTCTTTTATTAAGGAGCCCCTAATAGCATTCCACAAAATGAGTGTTCTGCAGGGTTAAAAGAATATTGAACCAGAGTGAGGGTGTCTGAGAATATGTTTGGCACATAGTTGGTGCCCAGCCAGCATTTGCTTCCTCCGCAGCCCACGTTCCTGTCTCCAGGAGAGGGGGGCTGGCTTGGGGGGCTCTGTCTTCACAGGCCAGGGCAGCAGGCTCTGTGAGGAGGCCCAGGCTCCCATCTGGAGGCCAGATTGAGGGGGTCGGGCAGAGGGAAGATGGAACTGGGTCAGGCCAGGGAGACAGGAAAGAGTGAGGCAGTCCGGGTGGGTCTGCTAATGGGGTGGGGAAAGGAGGATTCTAGAACCAAGAGGGGCTGGGGGAAGCCCATCAAAGACCCCAGAGCAAAAACAGGGTCTCCCTGAATCCATGGGAGGTGCGGGGGGTGGGGGGAGAGATTGTGTGTGTGTGTGTGTTGGGAAAGGATAGTTTGTACCCTGACTCTGCAGCTTCCTGGCTGTTGGACCTTGAGCAAAGCCCTTCACTTATCTGAGGCTCAGTCTTGTCTTCTGTGCAATGGGGTCACTACCACAGACCTGGGAGGGTTGCTGAGCGCTCTCTAACATACTGACGGAGCAGCTCCTCTGTGCTAGGTAGTGTCAGTCCCATGGAAGGCCCATGAACGGTAGTCTCCACTCTCCTCTTCCCACCCCCCAGGCTTCCAGGCCTCTTCTTTCCCAGCCTCCTGTACTCTACCCCTAGGATTTGCCCCCGAACTACTAATAAGGAGGCCCATCGCACAGCACCAGCTGCCTTCCCTGCTTTCTCAGAATGCCACCCCCAACCCAGGTTTCCTGCCATGCTCAACGCTCAGCATTCCTTTGGGGATGGGCCTTTGCAGACATCTGTACTGGGCAGTGTTTTCTGCAGTAACAAACAGCCCCAATATCTCAGTACCTTACAACACAGACACTCCTCACACTCGTTCCATGAGGCTGGGGAGGTGGAGAGACATCAAATTGTGACAAAGGGAAGCCCAGGAATGAGGGGAGCCCAAAGGGGCCCTAACCCAGTTTGGGCATCAAGGAAGACTTCCTGGAGGAGGAAAATGTAGGCTTTACTCGGTTAGGGGATTTGGGGTGGATGTAATGTGCAGGGGGTGGATGTAAATGAGCCTTTTTAACTGTAAAAGGCATGTGCGCAGGCGGTACCTCTCCAGAGGCTGGCCCCCTCGCTGGGGAAGACGCCCTCCACAAGTCCCACCTGGCGAACTGAGGCCTCTTCTGCAGTCAGTATGCCCAACCCCAGCCTTCTGGTCATATTTCTTCCAGAGGCCCCTGCACCCCTGAAGCCTGGCCCCTCGCAGCCTGTGCCACGTGTCCCTGGGAGCCAGGTGTCCCAGGAGTCTTCCCTGGACCAGACCTTTCCCCAGGCCCCTCCCTCCTGAATTCCCCCTCCAGGCACCATCGCTCACTCTGTCTGGCTCGGAGGTAGGAGGCCACGTTTTCAGAGACCCAGAATAAAATGAACTCTGCCCCCTTCCTACCACCCTAAGGCTGCGGGGACCAGTGGTGTTGAGTGACTAAACAAAGCCCAGAAAGGTTCAGTGACTTGCCTGAAGTCACACAGCCAGTATGGGCGGAGCTGGGGTTGATCCCAGGGTATCTGGCTCTGGGGCACCTGTTCTTCCTGCTGTTCCCTTCATGCCTCTGCCCTTCCTTCACTGAGCCTGCTTCCATCTGTAAAATGGGCATCGTAATTCCCCCAACCCAAGGACCCTGCATGCCTCCAACTAGATAAAATCCCAGAGAAAGGCGCCTGGCACAGAAGGGGGCCAACGGGTGGCAGACCTTCTCTCTCCGTGAACAGTGTGCCAGCCGCTCACTTTGTGCACATCCAGTGCCATTTCGCCTGTTTCAGAATTTTTCCTGGGAATCTAAAAGTAAAAGCCATCTTTACATTCGTTACATTATAACTCAAGATTAAGTATGAAGATAAGATTATTCGAGTGATTTGAGGCTCCTTTGAGTATTCACAAGTGGAAGAAACAGGAAAAAAGACACCTCCATGAAATAGAACACCCCCATCATTTTGATAAGTTAGAAATACAGGGAAAAGTGAGAAGTACCCTTGGGGAAGAGGGTTATTGAATATTCATTCCCAAAGATCAAGACACCTACGGGGACAGAGCCTGTGGCCGCGGTGGGGGAGGCTGCGGGCTGCCTGGCTGGGCTGGGGCTGAGGTGACAGAAGTGCTCTCCTCCCCTCCAGGCAATGCAACAAGACATCCCACGGCAGTGACAGCTGCGACCTCATGTGCTGTGGACGCGGCTACAACCCCTACACAGACCGCGTGGTCGAGCGGTGCCACTGCAAGTACCACTGGTGCTGCTACGTCACCTGCCGCAGGTGTGAGCGCATGGTGGAGCGCTACGTCTGCAAGTGAGGCCTGCCCTGCCCTGTGGGAGCTCCTGGGGACCCCCAGAGGCCCGCCGAGGGGCCTGGAGGCACCGCGTGAATCTGTGCCTGTGACTTCCAAATGCCAGGCATTGGAGGCGGTTTGTGCTTCCACTTGGAAGCCACCAGGAACAGAAGGAGGGCCGGGACATCAAAGGGAACTGACAAGATTAAAAATAACCTGGCAGCCCGAGGCCCTGGAGTGCCCACTTGCTGCCTTCCAGGCTGGTCTAAGGAGCCAGGGGCATGGGATTGGCAAGACTGCTATGGACTTGACCTTTTGCAGCCAGATCACCAGCCGCCCAGGAGGGAAGGAAAGGGGTGCCGCCTGCCCTCACAGCGTGTTCTGCGGGCCCAGCCCCCGAGACCCCAGCCCCCCAGGGTCGAGCCTGCTGGGCCCACCACATGGAACCACTAGCTTGGGTTGTAAATGTTTTTCTGTTTTGTTTGTTTTCTTCCTCTGGGATGTGGGAGCTACAGAAATATTTATAAAACATAGCTTTTCCTTTGGGGTGGCTTGCCTCAATTCCTCTTTATATATTTTATATATATAAATATATATATATATAATGATCTATATTTTAAACAAGCTTTTTAAACAGCTGTATGAAATAAATGCTGAGAGAACCCCAGCCCTCCCCTGCAGTCTCTGGCCTCCTCAAGAGAGCTCAGAAAATCCTGGCGCTGGCCCCGGCTCTCCGGTTTCCAGGCAAGGCGGCTTCTGATTGATGTCCCACCCCCCCAACTGCGTCGGCTCTGAGGCTCTGGCCCTAGTCTCCCTAGAAGATCTCTTGGTCAAGGGCGAGGACAGACGTCTTGAAACATAAACCCAGCTGGCAGGTCCTTTGTTCCTCAGGGACACACACGCAGACGCACACAGCCTGGCCTTGTCGTCAGACCTGCTAAGCTCGCTTCAAGGGAAAACCCAGCTCAGGGGGAGCCGGGGACGCCGACTCGGGTTCCAGCTAACCCTGTGGTTTCTCTGTGTGACCGTGGGGAAGCCGTTCCCCTCCTTGGGCCTCAGTTTCCTCATTTGTAAAACGGGGTAGTGGAGGCTGAGGTTGTGGCCGGGGGAAAGGCCCCCCGTGGAGAGAGAGGCAGTGGGATTCCTGCTGTGTTCCCTCAGGACTTGTTCTCTTTATGGCTGTGCGGTGTGAGGATGAGGAGGACTGCTGGGGTTTGGCCGAGCGCTTGGAAGAATGCTGAGACTGGGTGGAGGTTCAGACTTGGACAGGCGGCGATGGCGATGTCCATTCGGCCCCACATGGAAATGCTGAGTCGATGGGCAGATGTTCAAATCTGGAGTTCTGGGGAGAGGCTGGGGCGAGATGCACACTGGGGCATCAGCGCTCAGGGGCGGGACAGAAAAGCAAGCACCCCAGGGCCTGAGCCCGGCACTTCCACTCGGAGGGAGGTCGGGGAGATGCAGAAGAAAAGAGGCACAGAGACTGGGAAGTAACAGCCAGGGAGATGGGAGAACCCCCGGGGTCCCAGCTACAAGCAGGTGAAGACGGGGCCTCGGTGCACACAGCGCTGCCTCTCTAGCTTCAGCTTCACTTCCTGTCGGGGGGGCGGCCCTGAGCACAAGGGGAGAGGGTCCTGGGCCTGGCCCATGGCAGGTCCCCCAAGTGGAAGCCGTTAGCAGTCACCTGTATCGTGGCCTGGCTGTGGGGACCACAGGAGACAGCGGATGTAAGGAGAATCTATAAACTGACTTTCTGTGCGCGTGGGAGGAGGCGAAGGTGAGACAGGACCCGGAAAGGCGGGAGCACAGTGCAGCTTGGAGCCTGGGCAGGACTCGGTGACGTGAAGCGGACACCCTGGGTGGGGTGACATGGACGCACTCCGCACGCCGAGAGGCTGGGCCCATCACAGGGTGGGAGGAGGAAAGGCTGTGTGGCCATCCGCCAAGTCCCGGCCTAAAAGTGCACAGAGGGGGTGGCCACGGTGACAGAATCACAGGCTGAGAGGAACTTCAAGATGGGTCTCCTGGTCTCCTAGAAATCTGTTTTGCAGAAGAGAAAATTCCGAGCAAGGAAGGGCCCTCCTACGGTCGCAGAGCTGATAAGGGGCTGACAGCCAGTGTTGCGGTTGCAGGACATCCCAGGGCAGGGCCCCCACCAGCATCTCTACGGTAACCGCTCAGCCTCCATTGAACAAGCCCCTGGAACGTGCACTCTCACAAGCCCAAGGCTGCCCCTGCTCCACAGCCTTCACTGGCTCCCCATGGCCCACAGAACCAATGCTCAGTTCCCGGCCCTGGTGTAGAAGGCCCTTCCCTCGGGCCCCAGGTGATTCTTCAGCCACCTTTCCAGCAAGTCTCCAGGCATCTCTGCCTCCCATATCTGCTTCAGCTCTCACAGCCATCTCCACAGAGCCTTCCCCAGTGCTCTCGGGCTCCAACTACCCTTTGAACCTTAAAGCAGCCCTGGCACTCATGATTGCAGAAGCAGCCACAGCCCACTCTTCCTTCAAGGCCCATGTAAATGGCTTCCTCCTCCAGAAAGCCTTCCCTGACCACCCTCAGCCCGGGCCAAGGCCTCCTCTGGGTTCCCACAGCCTCTGCACTCCGCTCTGACGCCGCAGCAAGCCTCGGCGTTGTGGAGGTCTGTGCTGTGCCTGTGTCTGTCTCCCCTACCTGCCCGGGGCCTTCTCATGGGCTGGGATCAGCCCCGTGCACCTGTGGGGGCCCAGGATCTGGGGGTGATACACTCAAGGCCGAATACATGCCTTGGAAATGTTAGATCTGAAAGATGTCCAAGACAAGCAAATGGAAACCAGACCAAGAACCCAGAATGACTCTCAGAAAGAGTGGTCATATAATATAAATGCTACCCTTGATCGTGCACCTACTGTGTGCTATGCCAAACATAAATACAGAAGGCCCCAGAGGGTACTATGGTTATCACCATCTGACAGATGAGAAAAGTGAGGTTCTGAGAGGGGCCAATTGGCCTAGATCTCCCAGGAAGTTCATAGTAGGGCAGGGCCAGGCCCCCAGGTGTGTCTGACACCAAACTCCTTGTCACACGTCCTCACTCCAACTAGGCGTGGGCTGAGCAGCCTGGGGGGCAGAAGGCTATTTCCAGCACAGGATGGAAGACCTACCTGGGCCCCTGACTCTGGGCCTTATGCACCTGCCGCTGGCCAGTGCCCAGGCCTGCAATGAAGCCCTGCACCTTTCTGGCTGGTCAGGGGCTGGGCAACCAGGGCGTGGCGGAGGGCTGGCCCCTGGACTGCTCCTCCGGCCAGCTCAGGGCCAGCTCAGGGCTGTAAGCATGTAGCTGGGCTGGGCCTGCATTCAGGTGAGGCAGTGTTGAGGCCTTTTCCTGGGTGAGTCCAGGACCTCAATGCTCTAGAGCAGTGGTTCTCAACCCTGCTGCACATTAGAATCACCTGGGAGTCTTTTTAAAATCCTGATTTCTGGGCCTCATCCTCCAGAAATTCTGTTTCTTTGTTATGGGGTGGGGCCACAATCCAGAAATCAGGATTTTAAAACGATTCCCAGGTGATTCTAATGTGCAGCCAAGGTTGAGAACCACTGCTCTAGTGTCTCAGATCTTGTGGTGGCCATTGATTTACAACCATAAACTCTGGGTACCTTGGACTTTTGGATCTTCAAAGCATTGCATCAGAAGTCCTACAGGGGCCAACAGCCAACCTGAAGAATTTAAACGGCCCAGGTACTGATCCGTGGTGCCCGGATGCTTGTCACCAGCAGGATTCTGACCCAGGCCTGCTCCAGCTTCCTCCGTGGTGAGGGGCCACAGTCCTGGACTGGGGGGCCCAGAAAGCCCTTGAGAGATGGGAACGAGCTCCCCGAAGATGATAGCAGGAACAGCTTCGAGGAAGCGTCTGAACCGAGTGTGGGAGGCCGGCCGGAGACATGGGAGAAGCGGGGCCTGGGGAGAGACAAGAAGGCGGCAGAGAGGAAACAGGAACTCCTGAAAAGAGGGCGAGATTAGCTCGGTGGGAAAGGAGAGAATAAGCAGATAAGGCCCCCTGGGGAGGCCAGGCCAGGCCAGAGGAACAGCAGGGGGGCCTGGGCCGGGCCCTGCGCAGGCTGATGGTCTGTTGTTCCTCAGGTCATGGGGAGCAGCTGCCAGGTTACACAGACCAGGCCTCCAGCAGGATGCAGGCCCAGCCTGGGACCCCGGGCCCGAGAGCAGCTGAAGGGAGGCGGGGGGTTGGGAAACAGGAACCCCAGTATCTTTTCCACTCTCTTGCTGCGTGACTCCAGGCAGCCACTGGCCCTCTCTGGGTCTCTGCAGTGTGTGTCTTGTTCAATTCTCACGACCATTTGGAGGGATAGGGCCCATAGCTCTGTTTTATTGGTGAGGCCTAGAGAGAGAAGCGGCTGACCCAAGGTGACAGAGCCCTAAGTGGCAGAGCAGAGATTTGAGTTCCCGGCTGCCCGGCTCCAAGTTCGCGATGGGCATCCCAGGATGCAAGTGGCCTTCCACCGAGCTGGTAGTTTGACTCTGAGGCAGTGGAATGGCCAGACAGGGTGTCACACACGACGGAGAGGGAGCAATTCAAGATTAGCATTTCATGACACCTGCCACGGGCACCTGAGGCTCTGGTTGAGGAACAGGTGTCAGGTGCCCCCTCCCCATGACCATCGGACCATTGCTCAGACAACCCTTTCCCGCCCAGTCCTCCTGTGCTGAGAAGTCACCGCCACCTGGGTGCCCAGACTCCCAGGACCCACCTCTGTGTGGAGTCTGAGGGGGTGGAGCACATGTGTCCCCCTTCAGTGGACCCACACACCACTCCTGGTCAGTGTAGCAGAGATGACTGAGGTCAGAGACAGGAAGTTCTGGGGGTTGGGAAAGAAACGCCTACTTCTTTCAGGGTGTTGGGGGTATGGAGTGGAAATCTGGAAGACTTCATGGAGGAGGTGTCGTTTGGAAAACAGAGCAGAATTCTAAGAGATGGAGAAGGGGGGGAGAAGGGGTCTGCATGATCAAGGCACAGCAGCAAGTTTGCTCAGAGGTTGCCAAGAAGTGGGGTGTGGCTAGACTCAGGCCTGTGGGCATCAGGGCAGCAGAGGTCCAAGTCAGGCCGTCTCGGCCGTGGGCTGGTACAGTAGAGCCAGGGTGTCTAAGAATACCCCTACTCGGGCGCTAGCCCCTGGCTGGTACCCCCCAACCCCAGCTCCCTCCTGCCTGCGAGGTCCCCTGCCCACCCGCAGAGATGGCTGGCTTCAGGCTGAGCGATTTAACAGCCGAAGTTTAACGGGTCCCTTTGCTCCCGTAGACCAAATCAATATCCGCTCAGCTCTCCGGGCTGTGACTGCTGAGGACATTCTCCTTATCGGCCCCTTGGTCCCCATTGCCTCACCTGCTGGGCTCCAGCAAGGGGCTGGGGGCTGGGGTAGGGGTGGAGGGGGCAGGTCACACAACTATCCAAACACCCCCATCCAGGCTGGCGGGAGGGTGAGCCTTGGCCTTGGGGCTGGCAGATGAGGACAGGGCTCGGGGGAGGCCCAGACGCCAGTGCTCCTGGACAGGGCACAACTGTAGT